ATTTATAGAACTTCATTGAATGAAAAATAACGCAAAACCAAATAATTTAACATCCATTTATTTAAAAGTTATATTGGTTTCATGGACATATTTATTTCATGTATACGGACATTAGAATGGATTATATTATATTCCGTATCCAGGCCATTACCTGCCCGCATTAGTTATTAGCAATACCTACATTGAATAGGTATTCTAAATAACGATAAACTCAAAACTCGTATAACCATTTAATTCTAAATAACGATAAACGCAAAACTTGGATAACATTTTAATTCTAAATAACGATAACCGCAAAAATCGTGTTAAGTTTTAATTGTAAATAATATTCCGTTTCAAATGCAAGCCCTGGTTTATATTATGTAACCATGTATAGGTTGTTAATAATAATATATTAAATTATTTAAGACTATTATTGAAATAAACATAAATTAAGAAGATGCGATCTAGTGTCTGATAGTCATGTTTAAAATAATTAAATACACACATTAGATAAACTACCAATCTTTGTTGTTGCACCAATACGAATGACCTCTGATCATTTAACCAAGTCGTGTTTTTAGTCCATAAAATCCGACTAGCAGTCATATTTTTGTCGTCTAGATCCCATTTGAAGGCCAAATCGCCGCTTACATAATATTATAATATACTTATTACTTATATATAAGTCCATCCCAGCAGTTTCGTAACTTCTGGAGAGGAGTATTATGTTATAGTGAGGACGGATTATAGTATTTCACGAATTCATATTTTCTAAACATATATTGGGTCTTGGGTAAATAATTTCACTTCGTAAAATGTGAATTCAAAAATGTCTACGGACATGTGATAAATTGCGTACCTATAATAATTTATAAGACTAATATCATTGCGTATTATTGGTGTTGATGTGCATATTGAATTATTATTTATCATATAATTATTGATCTACCAGTACTAATATTATAGTATGTGTATATGTATTAGGTCTTATTATAACGATACAATTTCTAATATACAGTAGAAGTAATATTCTGGAGGAATCGTAACGAAATCGGTCGATTGGCCATGGTGTGCGTGTACAGTGCAGCTGCTGCAATGGAATGTGTTTCAGTGAATGTGGTTTGGGGGGTTGGTGGCGACGGAGTGCTGCTGTGGAACACTCGTCGGTCAGACGATTATAGGAATCGACGGTATAGGACTTAGGTACTGGAACACATTTTGAAATATAAATCCTTTATATATAATAACGGCAGCGTGACGATAATAGGCACCCGCCGCCAAAACGAAACCTTTGTCCGTCTTGTTATATATAATATATATGTGTGTCATGTGTGTATAATATATGTGTGTACATGTGCTTGGTGGCCGAAAAACATCCCTCGAGAAACACAAATAAAACTGTTACAATTTACAAACGCGTACAACTCGCAAAATAATGTTATAATAATATAATATGTACATGACGCATATGGCGCCTTAATTATTGTCATAACAGTAATTTGAGGTAGGTACAACGTCCCAACGATGTCCGATCGACCTTCGCCACTTTCACTTCAATATTGGTATAACTCATATTAAATAATAAGTAAATTTTTATCTCGCCCCGGGTGGGATTTTATCCTCCGGGCGAGATTGTATAACATAATAATTATTAGTAATGAAGAATGTTATAACATGATTATCAGGCATAGACCTATAAACTAATGGACAGCGCTTAGAGAGAGAGGTCAGGGGTACGATATAGAGTAAAAGGGAAAAGAGATCGCGTGGGGGGAAATACAGTGTTAGTTTCATAGATATATGATTAACTCACTTTATTTTCTTTCTCTCTTTTCTCTCTTCGTTCTTTCTTCTTTCTTTATCTTATATTATGATTCCCGTGTATTGACGGCAAGGCGGAGTGCAATACGCTGTCCATTAGTTTATAGGTCTATAGTATCAGGGGTGGCCAAACCACGATTCCCATTTTATCGTAAGATGCAAAACATTTTTACTAATATAATAATAGGTAGGTATTAATGAAGACAAAATTATCCGACATGATACACAAAATGTATCTGATTTATTGCTTGTATTATTATATTGTTTTGTATTCTGCAAATTTTTTGGCATTTGATAACTACTTTTATGTACTATGATTGAGAACCTTTTTTTCCTGTTCTTGGCTCTTACATATTTTTTATTATATTATTATGCATGTCACGACTCTTATGGCTGGCCACATGTTCCCCCCAGATATATCATTTATACACATTATACATACATATTATACGAATAGTTTATAATATGATATGAACGATGTCCGTCGTATGCACTCCTGGCGAATATAGGTACCTATACAGCCTATGTACACAGACAATAATGGACAAAGTTTTTAAAGAAACATTAACAAAGAACCGTGTTTGTTATAAATCATCTAAAATTCCTATTTCATACTAATTTGGTTTCAGCTGATGATGTTTGGAGAAGTTACGTTTCTATTGAAATGTAATTTGAATATTATCTAAAATATTACTTTCGTAAATAGCGGCAACTATATCAAGGGCGTTCACATGCGTTCTCTCTGTCTTACAAACGCATAACATAGCAAATCGTACTCTCAACTGATCACGTTTATCAGCAGTTATAAAAAATGAAATTTAATTATTATAATTATATCGAATTCGTAAAATATAATGTATATTTTATCATCCTTGATTATGTTGTCATTGTGACTTAAAGTAAATAATCATTAACGATTCGTAGAAAAGAAAGAAACTCGGACAATTAACACAATATTATCATTTGTTGGTCATTATTGATTTATGGATTCCACAAATATATATTTAAACTATCGTTCGAGCAGTTATATTAGATTACGCTGTTAAAATATAATAAGAATGTCTACAGACCGGCATTGTGCGATGTTGTGTTAAATACCCATTATGTGAGTATTTTATAACATTGCTCGTAAATAAAAATATGAAATATAATATAAAAATGAATAATGAAAACGTGAGTGGCTAGTCTATATTATAATACTACATTGAATTAAAAAAAAGTCTTAGATTGCTTATACTATCAGTGGTATACGTGTGTTGGGTACCTAGTGTCTTAATGTAAGCAGGTCGAAAAATACGGTAGATCAAACGAGTATTTGTTACGTATATGCATAGGTACACTTAAATTTTATATACTAATATATTTTATATATTATAATATAATTAGGTTATTAGGTTGTGCTCAAAAACAGAAAAATATCTTATGTACCAACCTATTTACTGTACTTAATTGAGATGTATAGTTAAATATAGTCAATATTTTTAGATTCACTGGCGTACGTACAATAATAGTAATAATTATTGGCCATATACCACCGACGGCCGATATAGGATTGTCGAATGGCATTATTTAACTTCACAAACATTTACTCGATACTCGATCCGATTACTCCACAGAAGACATAACTTATAATTAAAAGATAAATATTTGAATACTATCTTTTTAAAATTATAACTTTATGTAGAATTTAAATAATTGTAGTTTTTAGATTCTGAGTGAAACGATGAATGTATTGATTTTACAATGATGTGTGTTTTTTTTTAATTTTTTAATTTTTTTTGTATCTGTGTACACGATAAGTAGTCGAAATAATGCTTCGATTTTCGACTTCAGTATCTTGTTCGATTGGAAAGTGAATACCGTTGGTGCATTGGGGAGGTCAAAATTTAAAATTCCCAGTACTTTTCAAAAGCGCCAAGAAAAACAAAAGAAAAATTAAGGAAAAACGGGAATTTTTACGCAAAATCGATTTTTCAGAAAATTGAATTTGGTTTTTGGTGTAACTTTAAAACAAATGACCGTAGGTACATGCAATTTTCACTGGTTGTTTATATTTGCATCTTCTATACACAATAACATTTTCAAAATATTTTGATTTATTTTGAACAGTTTTGGGACATTTTCATTTTTCATTTTTTGTTAGTTTTTTTTCTAGAAATATCAATAAAATTTTATTTGTTGGTTGCGAAAGCTTTAAAATTTAATAGAAGGCTCCTAATATATTGTTTC